TAGTATATGCCACTGTATCCAGCAGTAGTCAGTAGTTTACATTTTTATACTTGTGACTTTTTAGAATAATTTATACAGGGCTGGGGATGCAGCTCAGTAGTAGAGTGCTTACCTAGCATGAGCAAAGCCTTCAGTTCAATCCCAGCACCAAAAAAAACAAAAAAAAGAGAGAAGAAAATTCATGTAAAAAAAATAATATACTTCAGATCCACCAGTTGAGACCTGATGTCATCTAAAGCAAGACAAAAAATTTCCTAAATCCACCTAGAAGAAAAGAGCCTCAACAGTACTAATAATAGTGTGAACTTGGTCCCCAAATCCCAAACTGTGTTTATGTAGATATAGTCATAGATAAGTCTCCTTTATCTTAAATATTTCCATGACCTTTTATTTTCCTTTTTTCAGAGAATGTCTGCTCATTGCCACAGCAGTGCTCCAACAGAATGTTTTGGCAACAGTCCCGACTATGGTCAGCAACTCCTTAAGCAGCTGGGATTTCTTAAAACAAGTGAGTAGCATTTGCCTTGCAGTGCTCCAGCAACAAAACAAGCAAAGCTTCCATGGGAATCAGATATTTACAGAGCATTCTCTCTCTTGCCCCTGCTCTTCCTTCATGTAACCAAGGAGGTCAGAGCCACTCATGCACATTTTGGCAATTACAGTGCTCACAGTGGAGCTTATATACAGATACAATCCTAAACACTAGGCCCTGCCACACATCACAGGGAACTTCTTGATTACACTGATTGTTGGATGAATAACCTGAATGTGTCAAGTTGAAGGACTTGTGACAGATCAAAACTGTATCCCCTGTAGCAGACACTTGTCACCCAGTGAGCGTGTGTGTGTGTGCGTGCGTGTGTGCGTGCGTGCTTGGTGAGGAGTACAAGGTTCAGCTAAAGAAATTCCCAAAGCCAACAAGATTGTGGAGTGAATAAACATAAACATAAGCATGTAGCTTTTTCTTAACTATAGCCGACAAAGTAAAGCAAAATCCAGCAACAATATCAATATACACATACACACAAGTCCCCAAATATTCAAATTTTCATGGTTCTGCAGTGATTGATGGTACTTACCTAGAGACAAAGGGAATCCAAGGTAAAAATCACAAGCAGCAACTTAAAATGCAGCAGTCTTGTCTGGCTAATCCAACTTGAACAAAGCCACTGCAAGGAGTCAGCCTCCAACTTAAAAAAATGGGACCATGCAAATATACCCTTGACTAAAATTCAGCCTTACACTCCAAGTTGTTGCCATAATCTAATAATCTTCAAGCAAAATAACTGAACAAGTTTTATTGGGCCACCCAATAAAATACCATATGAGAACCTAGAGGTGGAAACATCTGTGAGAAATATTCAAGTGGTACAGAAGACCCTTACAGAAGCCTTAAAGATAGGCTGTGAGCTTTCTATTTTAAAAAAATAACAATCTTTTATTAATAATATTTTAGGTGATCCTAAAACACTGTCTTGGTGTTGACTCATTTCTGCAAACATCTGCCTTCATTTTGAGGAACTGGTAATAGTCCTACTACCAGTGCAGGCCAATGAGAGGCACACACTTCACCTTTTGATGAGAAAGTTTTAAAACCCACATTAGGCAAAAGAGTGTTTCTCAGAAGAAAAACAGGCAGTTAGCTTTGACAAAGGGCTATTTGAATCACCCCAGAGCAATACAGATGCTGGAGAGAGAGAAGATTGAGAATTGTTCTTTTTTTTTTTTTTTTTTTTTATTCCTATGTGCATACAAGGTTGAGAATTGTTCTAAACCCGATCCACTTGGTTACTTCCTCTGCTTGCAACACTGCTGCAAAAAGAGGAAATGGGGACACCCAAGCTGAATAACTGTCTTTAGTCAAAGCTGTTAGGAAATCCTCTCAATAACCTATGATATCACCTATGATGACACAGATGTCATCTTCCTTATAGAACTTTGCTCCAAAAGCAAGATTTACAGGGTTTTTTCATGCAGACTATTGATACTAAAATACAAGCCAATGACTTAGGAAAAAAAAAAAAAAAAAATGCAACATCTCAGGCAAAGTCCTTCCAGGAATTAAAATTTTGGCATTAACTCCACCCACTAATCAAATAAACAGTAAGACATGGTAAGCTTTAGCTCAGATGGAGACTCAAAGTTTGGACCAAAACTTAGGAGCTCCATGTTTCAATTTATCTCTGTCAGAGTTCTCCCTGAGTTTGTTTCATTCTTCTCAGTCTTAGAATCCTGACCTATTTAAAAAAGGGCACTGGGGTTGATAATACTTGCGAAGTTTCCAGATATCTGTGTCTGATTCCCCATGAACACATGAAATTAATGTATTTACTCTGCTTGTTTTAAAATACAGAAATGTATCTTTATTTTTAAACAAATGGAAATATCTCTATAACAATGTATACATAATAATGCACAACTGAGGCAGTGCCTCTCAAACAAAGGAAAGCTTAGAAAACTTAGCCACCAGAGAGCTCGTGGATTTGCCCAGTTTCTGTTGACTCTGCTGCTTGTGTGCCTGGAGTGGCACAGAATCAGCCAATGACAGAGCAGTGAATGCTTGAATAAGGGCTGACATCTTGATCCTCTCCTCCTACTTTGAGCCTCCATTGATGGGCTGGGATTTGGGTCCTATGTAGGGTGGGGGAACGGGATGGGTGTTGGAGGAAGGGTTGGTGGTGTCTCCGACTCTCAGTGTTCCCAGGCTGGTAGCAGTAGTGAGTGGGTGGTTAAGGCCACTGATGCCAGGGGTACTGGGGTTAGTACTGGGTAGGGGCTGACCAAAAGAGGTGGGTGGTGCAGATATGGACAAGGTAGAGGGCTGGGGGATCTGGAAGGAGCTTGGGGCCACTGGGTTGTGGTCACCAGAGGGAGGAGAAGCCCCCAAGGGGAAGCCTTGAGAGGTCAAGGTGGTGGTGGAAGTGGTGGTGGTGGTGGTGGTGGTGGTGGTGGTGGTGGTGGTGTGGTGGTGGTGGTGGTAGTGTGGTGGTGGTGGTGGTAGTTGTAGTTGTTGAGCTGGTGCTGGCCACTCTGTTTACCCCCAAACCACTCATAGGCTGTGAGGAAGATAGATTGGCTGGACCAGTGGTGGTGAGTGTGGCTGGACTAGTGATCATGGGGTTACCAGTAACTAAAGCAGTTGTCTGCATTAAACGGTGGGCTGGCATGTATAGGAAATTAGGGGGTCTAATGAGCCCACTTTGGGGCTTGATGGGCAGGGTGGTGGTTTTGGTCATGGAGGGGGTTTTGTGGTGAGCAGAGGCTGGAACAGTGGTGGTGAGTGTGGCTGGACTAGTGATCATGGGGGTACCAGTAACTAAAGCAGTTGTCTGCATTAAACAGTGGGCTGGCATGTATAGGAAATTAGGGGGTCTAATGAGCCCACTTTGGGGCTTGATGGGCAGGGTGGTGGTTTTGGTCACGGAGGGGTTTTGTGGTGAGCAGAGGCTGGAACAGTGGTGGTGAGTGTGGCTGGACTAGTGATCATGGGGGTACCAGTAACTAAAGCAGTTGTCTGCATTAAACGGTGGGCTGGCATGTATAGGAAATTAGGGGGTCTAATGAGCCCACTTTGGGGCTTGATGGGCAGTGGTGGTTTTGGTCACGGAGGGGTTTTGTGGTGAGCAGAGGCTGGACAGTGGTGGTGAGTGTGGCTGGACTAGTGATCATGGGGTACCAGTAACTAAAGCAGTTGTCTGCATTAAACGGTGGGCTGGCATGTATAGGAAATTAGGGGGTCTAATGAGCCCACTTTGGGGCTTGATGGGCAGGGTGGTGGTTTTGGTCACGGAGGGGGTTTTGTGGTGAGCAGAGCTGGAACAGTGGTGGTGAGAGTGGCTGGACTAGTGATCATGGGGTACCAGTAACTAAAGCAGTTGTCTGCATTAAACGGTGGGCTGGCATGTATAGGAAATTAGGGGGTCTAATGAGCCCACTTTGGGGCTTGATGGGCAGGGTGGTGGTTTTGGTCACGGAGGGGGTTTTGTGGTGAGAAGAGGCTGGAGCAGTGGTGGTGAGTGTGGCTGGACTAGTGATCATGGGGTACCAGTAACTAAAGCAGTTGTCTGCATTAAACGGTGGGCTGGCATGTATAGGAAATTAGGGGGTCTAATGAGCCCACTTTGGGGCTTGATGGGCAGGGTGGTGGTTTTGGTCACGGAGGGGTTTTGTGGTGAGCAGAGGCTGGAACAGTGGTGGTGAGTGTGGCTGGACTAGTGATCATGGGTTACCAGTAACTAAAGCAGTTGTCTGCATTAAACGGTGGGCTGGCATGTATAGGAAATTAGGGGGTCTAATGAGCCCACTTTGGGGCTTGATGGGCAGGGTGGTGGTTTTGGTCACGGAGGGGTTTTGTGGTGAGCAGAGGCTGGACAGTGGTGGTGAGTGTGGCTGGACTAGTGATCATGGGGTACCGGTAACTAAAGCAGTTTTCTGCATTAAACGGTGGGCTGGCATGTGTAGGAAATTAGGGAGTCTAATGAGCCCACTTTGGGGCTTGATGGGCAGGGTGGTGGTTTTGGTCACGGAGGGGATTTTGTGGTGAGAAGAGGCTGGACCAGTGGTGGTGAGTGTGGCTGGACTAGTGATCATGGGGGTACCAGTAACTAAAGCAGTTGTCTGCATTAAACGGTGGGCTGGCATGTGTAGGAAAGTAGGGGGTCTAATGAGCCCACTTTGGGGCTTGATGGGCAGGGTGGTGGTTTTGGTCACAGAGGAGGTTTTGTGGTGAGCAGAGGCTGGAACAGTGGTGGTGAATGTGGCTGGACTAGCGATCATGGGGGTACCGGTAACTAAAGCAGTTGTCTGCATTAAACGGTGGGCTGGGATGTATAGGAAATTAGGGGGTCTAATGAGCCCACTTTGGGGCTTGATGGGCAGGGTGTTGGTTTTGGTCATGGAGGGGATTTTGTGGTGAGAAGAGGCTGGGAATGGGCCCACCTGTGTGGAAAGAAAGGGGTTTTTTCCCTGGCTTTTAGTTGAGGTCACCCAGAGGCTGTTTGTCATGGAAGTGGCAGAGGTCCGGCCAGGACCAGTAGGGGAGGAATGGTTGGTAGGCATGATGCCAAGGGCCTTTGGGTTTTGAGTGGGGCAGGCCAGAGGAGACCTTGTAGTTTGGATGATACTGCAACTTGAGGGCATGGAGGGGATGACGTATCCATGGGTACAACTGGGGATAAAGTAGGTGCCCTCCCCACAGAAGTTGCTGAAAATATAGGGGGGCCTTGTAATTTGACTGAAACTGAAGCTTGAAGGGGTGGAGGGGATGATGTATCCATAGGTACAACTGGGGAGGAAGTAGGTGCCCTCCCCACAGAAGCTGCTGAAGATGTTCCTGCAAAGGTCACTGAATGTGACGGACTAAGAACAGCTGGAAGACCAGTTGCCTTTGGAGGTGCGGGAGCTACAGTAGTAACCACACCAACCGCCACTGGAAAGGATGGTGGGGCCTGTAGATTCTGCACCTTTTTCAAGTGTCCAACCAGTGGGATAGTGCTTAGGCCTGAGGTGGGGATGGAGGCTGGCAAGGAAACTGGCCTTTCTGCGGTCAGGGTCAATCTGTGGCCGGGTCGCTTGGCAGGTGCAGGAGTTCCAGTGCTAACTCCATCGGCAGGTCCTTGTAAGGATGGTGTGCAGTCAGGGTTCAGCATGGTCTTTGGGCTGGCCAGCACTGGAGTAGCACCTGGGCCTGGTGCAGGGGTTGTAGTGCTAACTACATCAGCCGGTCCTGGTAAGGATGGTGTGCAGTCAGGGATCTCCACGGTCTTCGGACTGGCCAGAAGTGGGCTAGCACCTGGGTCTGGGGCAGGAGTGGGGAGGGAGGCTGGCAAGGAAGCTGGGCCTGCTGCAGGCAGGGTCGATGTGTGGCTGGGTGGCTTGGCAGGTGCAGGGGTTGCAGTATTAACTACATCAGCCGGTCCTGGTAAGGATGGTGTGCAGTGAGGTATCTCCACGGTCTTCGGACTGGCCAGAAGTGGGCTAGCACTTGGGTCTGGGGCAGGGGTGGGGAGGGAGGCTGGCAAGGAAGCTGGCCCTGCTGCAGGCAGGGTCAATGTGTGGCTGGGTGGCTTGGCAGGTGCAGGGGTTGCAGTATTAACTACATCATCAGGTCCTGGTAACGATAGTGCACAGTCAGGGTTCGGCATGGTCTTTGGGCTGACCAGCAGTGGGCTAGCACCTGGGCCTGGTGCAGGGGTTGTAGTGCTAACTACATCAGCAGGTCCTGGTAAGGACGGTGTGCAGTCAGGGATCTCCACGGTCTTCGGACTGGCCAGCAGCGGGGTAGCACCTGGGCCTTGTGCAGGTGTGGGGAGCGAGGATGACAAGGAAGCTGGCCCTGCTGCAGGCATTGTGAAAGTGAGGCAAGGCTCCTTAGTGACACAGTTAGAGGCCACAAGAGTCTTGTCCTCCAGAGCCTTGCTAAACCACTCAAATCTGGCCTTCTTCTCTCTATGGACTTCAGGAGTGATAGGATAGGCAAGCAGGGGAGGTAAAGGGCAGGTCAGTGGGTCCCCACGCCGCTTGCGTTTCCTGCTCCCAGAGCTGCCAGGTGTGGGTAGTGACATGGAAGACTTGTGTTCCTTCCTTGTGGTGTCATCTGTAGCCCTTTCTCCATGGGACTCTGGCTGCTGGCAGTGAGAGGAAGCTGGTCCAGAGAAGAGGGGTGAGGTGTGTCCCCTCCTCTTCCACAGCTGGGAGATGCCTCCAGTGGAGCTGTAGGAACTTGTGATTGCATTGCGCTTGGGCACTGGGATGCCACACGTGACCTTGCTTGGCGGGGAGCACCTAGAACACGTGCGTGCCCGCTTACTTAAGGGGTCATCAGAGGTCTCAGACGCGAGACTTCTCTTCAGGGGTACAGGTTTCTGTACAAGACTAGCAGAAGACCCATCAGCCGGGAGGGGTTCAGTTGTTGATGGGCTGCTCCCACTACTCTCATGGCCCTTTCTCTTGCTTTTCTGGCCATCTCTAAGTATTTGGGACTCTTCCTCCACCCTACTTTGCATTGTCTCTTTGAGAGTGGTGTCCTCTGCACCTGGTTGCGGGCATTTCTTGCTGGGCAGGCCAGCGTGGAGTTGGTCATCTGCCCTGCTCCTCCTTTCTGCACTATCCCTTTATTCGAGCCTTTCAGGGGACTCACTGTGGTTTCCTTTACGCTTGGCTCCTGGGCATTTGTTTGCCTGGAGGCCAGTGTCCAGCCGACCATCTGACATGGCACTCGAGGTGGCCTTTGGTTGTTACTGCTGGGGCAAATCTGCTTGGTTGCTGGGTTGCAGACCATCCTGCAGTTTCCCGCAGAGAACATGGCTCTGTGGGGGTGACTGATCCCGCAAGGGTGAGCATACCCTGCTTGAGCCGGTACCGTCTTCCAGGTGCTTCCAGGAACCCTGGCATGAAATCCCCAGAATGGCAGTATCAAGGTCTCTGTGGGCTAGAAGAGGGGCAGGGAGTGAGGGTGGTTGGGTTGGAGGAGCTGGACCAGGGAGGGGTATGAGGGGCCGGTGGGTGGTGGCCGGGTCCGTCCTGGGTGGGGAGCATCAGGGCCCTGGCTTACCCTTGTATCTGTACATATCAGCAATTCAGCAAGGTAGTTCTCCTGAAGCAGTGTCGCGGACAGTCGCTCTACCAGTTCTGGTTTTCAGGGAACTTGTCCTAGGAGACTAGTAACATTCCATGACATAACAATTGCGGGTTCCAAATCCACGCGCACGCCCAGACTTTGACAACATAATCCTTCTCTTACATTTGGCCTTTGTCCAACATAATTCATTCAAACCAATTGTGCAACTAAAACCTGTAAGTAATACCTTTCAGGAACTGAAGGTAAACCTTTGTTCTCAGATCCTTTTCTCTTGAAAGCCAAACAAAACCAAGAAAGGGGTGTGGGATGAGGGAACAAGGTAGAAAAAGAGAGCTGTAGTATCCCTTTGCTCACAGAAAGAGTCCAAAACTTGGAAATAAAGCAATAAAGCAAAGGGAAGGTAACATGCTCTTTCAGCAGCATAATTAGGCATTATTAAAAAAAAAAAAAAAGGGGCCTAGTCAATGATTGAGTCATTCTCTGGATGGAAGAGTGTTGTTCAATAAATAGTGCTTTCTATAATGACGGAAATATTCGTATCTCTGCTGTGCAATAAAGAAGCCAAACCAAAAGCATCTAGTGAGCACTTAACAAATGGCTGACAGGGAAACTGAATCTTTAATTCCATCCCATTTTAGTTGATTTAAATTTAAATTCAAATTAACACAAGTATCTTGTGGCTACTATGGATAATATACCTCCAGAAGAATGTACCTATGATTAATTTATGCATTTTGATCAGATTTGTGCACTGAAATTGCATGTTAATTTGTAAGCAATTGCCTGATAGAAAGAATCTGAAAAGTTACGGTTTTTATTTAACAATTATATTTAAACTGAAAAGATTAGCAAATAAAATTTAAACCAGAAATTATTCTTACTACAGTACTTGTCACCAAATGATTTTTTCTTCCTCTTTCCCAAATTCCTTATTTGTTTCATCAAAATAATGTATATCAAGTAAAAAACACCAGTTCCACAAAGGAAACACTGATTTCAAGTATATTTTATAATTTACTCATGTTGACAAGAGCATCATACTATCAAAGTTTCTGATTAGTAGATAAAACAAACCTGCACAATATTATGATGTGCTATATGGCACAGTGTGGGAATGTCAAGAATTTCCCACTCAGGTTTGTAAAATCTAACAAAAGAAGCAGACAGGTGAATCTAGACAAAAAATTAAATAAACCTAACTTTGAAAACAGTGATGTAAACGTTTTCTACAGGATCAAGCGCAATTTGGATGGGAGTATATATGTGTCTACTACATATACAAAACATATTTTAACAAATGTATAGAAAAAATGAATACAAGTTCCCATTTTTGTCAAGTCTTTACAACTTGACAAAAATACAGCTGAGCTAACAATAAATACAAATTTATAGAACAACAGAGTGGTAAGAGATTTTCCTGTTTCCTTCCGTTTTTGTTTTCTTGTTTAGGCATTTGGGAATGTCTTTTATGGTGATGTACTGATTACAAATCCAAAGGAGTTATTTACTTCACTGTATAAATTCATTAAATATTATTGTAAAAATTAAGAAATAACTTAATGCTAATGTCTACCTACACCATTGCGAGTGAGTAAATTATTAAGAAAAGGATTCTGAAAATTCTCAGGAAATGTGTTTTTCAGACTATCAACTTTGGTAATATTATCTATTTTAGACTTTCAGTGGATTGTTTGGATTGTGTCCTCTCACTTAAAATTCCAGATACCAGCCAAAAAAATGTATTTTATTAGTTTTTTTCACAGACCTCTTTCCCCAAACACCAAGTCATGTCACAGAAAAAAACCCGCTTTTTAATGTTTCCACATAAATGAGCTAAATAGAAGTGGGGAGCTTTTAAGAACTCTAGAGCTTAATAGAACATGTGTTTGCTTATAGAACAGCAGTTAAGAAAGGTACGTTTGGAAATAGAGTTGTAATATCCTCATACAGGATGCACTTTGGCAAGGAATAACATAAAAAGTTACTGCAGCCAAGATTCTTGTGCAAAATTTACTTCTCCACAAGATTTACTAATAAAAAATTCTGCATTCTAAACAGCTAACATATCAAACAAAAATAACCCACCTTTTTTTGGGTGGGGGCAGGGAAAGGTCAGAACGATCAATTAAAAAGAAAAAATCTCAGCTCAGGCTTCTTTTGGAGCCATCAGGAAATTGCCAGAATCTGTTTAACACATTAAATATATTCATAAGAAAAAATATTTTTTTTCTTTGTTTTTCCTATGTTTCAATGCAGCTGTAAAGAAGGTGATCCATAAAGCTGTGCAGGCAAAGCCTAAACTGACCTCAGATGTTGGAGATGTCAGGAGTGCAATGTCTGCCAAAGAGCACCGCAGGAAATGAGTGAAGCCAGCCCACATCAGAGGCCATATGGGCTGTGAACAGCAAGGCAATGGGACAGGACTGCTCAAGACTATCAGAACTCACATTATTACACAGCGTGTCTAAGATGCTTGACATGGAGCTATAGGACTGAATGTTTTCCTTTCTGGGTTTTCAGCTGATCCATCATTGCTACACTCCTATTCCTCCCTTTTAGAGTGGGAAAGTTTAGTATGTGCCATTATATTTTGGAAGCATATAATTTTCCATTTTGATTTTACAGAGGTTCATAGCTAAGAGTTTGCCTTTAGTCTCAGAAGAGACTTTGGACATAGATTCTTGAATAATGTTTGAATTTTTGGGACTCTGAGAAATCCTGGAGGTAGACTGAATACATTTTGCAATATAAGATAGCCATAAGATTTTGGAATTCAGGAGCAGAATATTATGATTTGAATGTAGAATATCCTCCAAAGGCTTGTTTGTTAAAGCCCAGTCCCCAGCTAGTGGTGCTATTTTGGGAAGTGAACAGAAACTTCAGGAGGTGGAGCCCAGCTGGAGGAAGTAGGTTACTGAGGGTGGATCCTTGAGGTTTCTTGCCCCTAATCCCTTTCTTCCTCCCTATCTCTGCTTCCTCTCTGCCATATAGTGAACAGCCTCCTCTGTCACACAGATACCACTGCAATGATCCAAGAATCAACAGTAAAGGACATTAGACTGAAATCTCCAATTTGGAACCAAAATAGAATTAAACTAGAAATCAATAGCAGAACAATACTGAAAGGTTCTCAAATATTTAAACAACCACTCATAAATAATACATAACTTTAAAAAAAGAAAGCACAAGGAAAATTAGAAGATATGTTTAAAACACTGCATCAAAATATGTGTATGAAGCTGAAGTTGTACTTAGAGGAAAACGTAAAACACTGAATGGTTTTATTAGGAAAAAAGAAATCTCTCAAAGCTATTGTGTAATTTTTTACCTTAAAATACAAAAGCAAAGGTCAAGTTAAGTTAAAATTAAGTAGAAGCAGGAAATTATAAAGTTGAACAAAACAAATGAAAATGAAAACAGAAGATAAAAAGAAATAAAACTGTTTCTATGATCATTCGACAAACCTGATAAAACATTAATTGGTTAGACATGAAAGAGAGTATAAATAATGGCCAATATCGGAAATGAAAGAACATCTGTACAGGGCTTAGAGATGCTTAAAACAAGAGTGTATATTATGAACATTTTGGTAATAAATCAGACAATTTAGATGTAATGGAAAAATATAAGATACAGCTAACAAAGATCCTTCAAGGAGCAATAGATATCTTGAATAGCCATCTATTAAGGAAACTATAGTTGTAGTTAATAACCTCCACACAAAGACTCCAGGCCTTCATGGCTTCACTCATGAATACAGTAAGCCATTTAAGAAAGAAATAGTATCAATTGATCAATTGCTCCGAAACTCTTCTAGAAAAATCAAAGAGATAAGACGCTTCCCAATTCATGTTACAGAACAACATTATCAAGATGCATAAAACAGACATTATAAGAAAGTGAAACTAAAGACAAATAACCCTCATAAGCATTATTTTAATAGAATTTTACTAAGTGTATTCTAGTAATATATAAAGAAGACATTATGACATAAATATGTAGAACTAATCACAGGGATGCAAATTGTGTTAACACTAAAATACAATTGAATTTACCTTATTAATGGAGTAAAATGAAAACTGTTATGATCATCTCAGACTATACATTTAAAATATTTGTTAGAACTGGGTATGGAGCTCAGTGGTAGATCATTTGCCTTGCATGTGGAAGAACCTGGGTTTGAGCTCCAGCACCACAAAAAGAAGTATCTGTTAAGATGAAAAACCCATTTATTATGAAAACTCTCAGCAAACTAATAATAGAAGGGATTTTCTTCAATCTGATTAAGTATAACTATGAAAAATCTATTGCCAACATTACACTTTGTGGCAAAAGACTGAAACCTTTCTCCTTAAGTTTAGGAACAAGATAAGGATATGACTTATATCACTTCAACATCATATTGGAGTACAACTAATGCAAGAAGACCAGATAAGAGACTGAAT